TGCTCAGACAGCCAGGCACTTACTTTACTCCCTGACCCCGACCCCCAGTGGGAGGTCAGTGGGTGCCACTAAGTCCTCCCCAACCCTGCCAGATGGCAGTGTACAAAAACCTGGGTTCACATCCAGCTTGGCGGCTCACTGTCATGACAAGTGGGCAGATGCCCTGGGCCTCAGTTGGCCCATCTGTAAGTGGGGCCAAGAGACAGCACCTCCGTCACAGGGCTGGGTGTGGGGTGAACAGGTTGGTCCCTGGAGACAAGTGGTGTGGTGCCCTGAGGTCTGAGGCCAGGCTCCAAGGCCGCTCAAGGAATAGGGGATTTGAGGCAGCTCAGACAGGACAGGCCCAGCAGCCAGCCCCAGCCTGATATCTCCCCTCTGCTTAGGCCCCAGACGCAGCTGCATCCTGGAATTGTTCTGAGAAATCTGGGACCTGCCCCACCTCCACCCAGGCAGGGGGCACCAGCCAGCTCCAGAGCTGCCCACCTTCCCTCACAGGCGCACAGGTCAGTGCCAGGCCAACCCCAGATCGAGAACACCTGTGCTGGACTGTGCTGAAGCAGCGAGGTGGCCTGCACAGGTGAGGTTGCCAGGAACAGTCAGTGCAGCTGTGCCCAGTCCTGGGCAGGGCAGCCATGGGAGGGCCCTGACTGCGGAGGGGTGTCCAGAGAGCCTGCCCCACTATGGAGAAGCCTGCGGGGAAGAAGGTGGCAGAAGGGAGGCGGGGCTGGTCTTGGCGGCCACTGTCTGGCCAGTTCGGATCCTAGTCATGCCTTGGCTCCACCTAGGTTGCAGGCAAAGAACCTGTTCAGAGATTCTGCTGGGCATCAGGCCACTGTTTCCAGCGGCCAGATAGCTTCCTGGGGCCTCAGGACTCTGGGCTGCCCTCTGGCCCCGGGGAAGGTTGCCAGGCCATGGGCAGGGAGAAAAGCAGAAGGGGGATGGGAGGGGGAGGAGAGTCTCAGCCAGTGTCCCACTCGGATGCACAGCACTGTTGTTCAGTCACCAGCTGGCTGGGAGGACGGCTTCCACTGCAGGATGGACCCCAGGGAGGAGGATGGAGCTTCATATCAGACATCCCTCACACCACAAAGTTGGAAATTGCTCACCCAGAAATGGGGGTATATGGCACTTTGGGAGGCCAAGGCAGGAGGATTGCCTGAGGCCAGGAGTTTGACGAGACCATCCTGGACAATAGTGTAAGACCCTGTCTTTACAAAAATTAAAATTAGCCAGGGTCCTGGTGTGGTGACTCATGCTTGTAATCCTAGCACTTTGGGAGGCCAAGGGAAGAGGATCGCTTGAGCTCAGGAGTTTAAGATCAGCCTGGGCAACATGGCAAAATCCCATGCCGTCTCTACAAAACAAAACAAAACAAAACATTAACCATGGTGGCTTGTGCCTGTAGTGCCAGCTACTTGGGAGGCTGAAGTGGGAGGATTGCTTGAGCCAGGGAAGCAGCAGTTGCAATGAGCCGAGATCGTGCCACTAGACTCTAGCTTGGGTAACAGAGGGAGACTGTCTCAATAAATAAAATAAAAATAAAGAGGTGTTGAGGATTGCTTGAACCCAGGAGGTGGAGGTTGCAGTGAATCAAGATTTTGCCACTGCACTGCAGCCTGGGCAACAGAGCAAGACCCTGTCTCTAAAACAAAACCAAAAACAGAAATAGGGTTGTTGGTTGTCACTTAGCTGGGGCTCGTGGTGATGGGGTCCAGTGGCACATATGGAGGGCATAGCTGGAAGGAACAGAGGCCACCTCCTCCTTGGGCACCTGGTAGGGGAGAGCAGCCCTAGGCCAAGGCCACACAGTGCGAGGGTTTGCAGGACAGTCAGTAGTCTGCACGGGGGCCTCCTGGAGCCTGGTTCTCCAGACAGTCCCCAAGGGAGCACCCAGGGGAAAAGAGAAACAGAAAACCAGCCCATTTTTGGGCCATATCTTTCAAGCCACTTTCTCTTTTTCTACTTCTTCTTCTTCTTCTTTTTTTTTTTTTGAGTTGGAATTTCTCTCTGTCGCCCAGGCTGGAGTACAGTGGCACAATCTTGGCTCACTGCAACCTCCACCTCCTGGGTTCAAGCAATTCTCCTGTTTCAGCCTCCCAAGTAGCTGGGACTACAGGCATACACCACCACGCCTGGCTAAATTTTGTATTTTTAGTAGAGATGGGGTTTCACCATATTGGTTAGGCTGGTCTTGAACTCCTGGCCTCAGGTGATCCACCTGCCTTGGCCTTCCAAAGTACTGGGATTGCAGGCATGAGCCACTGCGCCCAGACTCAGGTCCCTTTCTCTAAAAGTCAGCAATTCTACCAGATGAACACACAAGACCTAAGCCCCCAGTGGTGACTTCTTGCTCCCTGCCCACGGGTATCCCAGTCCTTCCAGGCTGTGCCTTCGAGCCTACAGAAGTCGCTCACCGTGCATGTCCCTGACCCTCTGGAGGATGCGCAGGGCCCAGGCCACCCACTGTCCTTATTTTCCAATGCAGGGGCAGCAAGGGAGGTGTCGGATGGAGCCACCCCACGGTTCCCCTGTGAAAGTCTGCACGTCACTCAGAAAGTTGAAGCAAACGAAGCAGGGCTGGAGCTCACAGTTCACAGCTGGCCAGGCTGCACAGGGGATGCGCCAAGGACAGTTTCCTACGACAAGTGGAAATCTGTGTGCTGCAGGCGAGCTGGGTCCTGGAAAGTGCAGGGACCAGCCAGCATCTTGGGACATCAAGGGCTGTCTCCAGCCAGCAGATTTCCCATAAAAAGGTGCTGAACTGGGGACAAAGCTGATTCTACAGAGCTGAGAATCCAGACCTTCCCTGGGGACTCCCAAGGGGGCCCTGGCCACCCTCTCCACCTGCAGAGGTTTCCTGGCCCAACAGCTCCTCCTCCGAGGGCCCCCTTCCAGCTCTCGGCCCATGGGGGAGCCAGTTCCTCAGCTCTGGGCTTGGTGGACAGGAGACCTAGGGCTCCCGCACCGAGCTGGGCTCAGTGTTTTCTTTTTTTTTGTTGTTTCTTTTTTTGAGACGGAGTCTCGCTCTGTCGTCCAGGCTGGAGTGCAGTGGCCGGAGCTCAGCTCACTGCAAGCTCCGCCTCCCGGGT